AGCTAATCCAAAGCCAGGAGCTCTTTCAGGTCTCCCATGCGAGTGCAGGGTCCAAAACTTTGGGCTGTCCTCAACCGCATTCCTAGGCCACAAGCATGGAGATGGATGGGGAGCAGGGCCACCAGGATTAGAACCGGCATCCATATGGGATCCCATAGGCATGTGCAAGGCGAGGACCTTAACCACTACGCTATTACGCCGGGGCCCAGAAACTTTTTGAAAAAGCTTCATGAAAGGGGCTTGAATGATGGCTCAGTGGTTTAATCCTAGCCTTGCACGCTCAGAATCCCATACGGGGCCAGTTTATGTTCTGGCTGTTCTAGTTCCCATCCAGTTCCTTGCCTGTGGCCTAGGAAAACAGAGGACGATCCAAAGTCTTGGGACTCAGCACCTGCATGTGAGACCTGGAAGAAGTTTCATGGCTTCTGGCTTCAGATCAACTCATCTGTGGTCATTGTGACCACTTGGGGAATGAACCAGCAGACAGATCTTTCTCTCTGTTTTTCCTTCTCTCTGTAAATCTGCCTTTCTGATCAAAACAAATAAACTTAAAAAAAAAAGCATGTGAAAAAATGTGTACAGGTCTGTTTCATATTGTATTGCTTATCGTGAAAATACTGATAACTTTTAAAAAGACGAGATAAACTTATATTTTATCTATCCATTTATTTATTTGGAAGGCAGAGTGAGAGAGGAGAGAAAGGAAGGGCCGGGAAGAGAATCGTTGATGTATTGATTCATTGCCCGTGATGTCAACAGACAGGTCTGGCCCACAACAAAGCCAGGAACCAGGAACTCCAACCAGCAATCCTTTGTGGCCAGAAGGGACCCAATTGATCAGGCAATATTCCATTGCCTTGCCAAAATCCTCAGCAGGGAGCTAAATTGGAAGCAGGGTAGCTGGGACACAGCCAGCCTCAGAACATGAGATGTTTGCATTGCAAAGAGCCACCCAACCAGCTTGGCACAGCGCTGGCCCCAGCTTGTCTCTCATTTTCATTTGTCCATAGACTTTTTCACTTCTAAATCTTTAATTTTTGTGTGATGTTCCCATGTCATTCCAGTGTTTGGATTTCTCAGTCCTAATTAGGTTGTGAAGGATGAAGAAACGCATTGGACCACACCTTTATTAACTATGCATTTCAGCCCAATTTCGTCTTCAGTTATCTGCTTCTGGTTTCTCAGTACTTTCTAATATTTTCAAACAAAGGGGTGGACAGCATATGTACAGTAGAAAAGCAAATCAGATGTTCCAGTCTTGAATTCTGTTGTTTTACAGTCATTAACATGTGGCTGCAAGCTCCAGTAGCACCAAGTGCTGCATTTGAAGAAAAAATGAGTAACAGCTAAGTTTGCCCCGGACATGTGCTATACAAACGGTGCTGTCCCCAGCATGGCCCTAATCCCTCAGTGCTGCAGTGTGTTCCTACAGTGTCGTGGTGTAGTCACTTTAAATCCTTCTCCTGTGAGTTTGTGGGCGTGCATAAGCCAGTGGTGCCTTCCCGATATCTTTTACTACGTGCTCCAACTGTTATCACTGCTTACACTGTCTCATCACTCCCAAAGGGAGACCCAGGGCCCATGGGGCAACAAGAGCTTCCCCTTCCACCCAACCTGTCCCGATCTCTAATGTTTTCCATTCTTTTTGTTGATTTTAGATGTGGAATGCAAGTGTGATCATTACAGAGTCATCCTCTGGTGTCTGCATGATTCCATTTAGCATAGTGCTTTCAAAGTTTTTCCATGTTGTGTCATATGTCAGGACATTATTCTACTGCGAGGCTGAATACTAATACTACAACTGTGCCCGCAGATGCCACAGTTTGCTTATCCGCTCATCAGTTGATAGCTGTAAGTTTCCGACCTCTGGCTGCTGTGTGTGCGCGTGTGCGCGTGTGTGCGTGTGTGTACGTGCGTGTGTACGTGTGTGTGCATGTGTGCGCGTGTGTGCGTGCATGTGCATGTATGTGCATGTGTGTGCATGTGTACGTGTGTGTGCATGTGTGTGCGTGTGTGTGTAATGATTTCCGTTCGTGTTTGCCATTCCTTTGGGTAGGGACTAGTTTCTGGCTCATGTAGCAGTTTATCTTTAACTTCCTGAGATCTGGGTCTATCCAGAGAGCCTGATCTACAATGTGGTAATGGCACAACAATATTTATTCAACAAATGGACATGCAATCATTTTACTATTAATATCTAAACTCATTATATGGTGGCTTCAGCTGACATTCAGCCACGTGTAAAATCCAGTGGACAAACAATGAGATGCTGACTCGGGCGAGAAGTGATACAAGAGGTGAGATTTTGTGTCTTCTGGAAACCGACGTTGAGGAAGGAACTAGCCGCGGACTGCATTCCTGACTCTCTGTTAAAGCTGCTTGACTCTGTGATGGAGCTGACAAGCAGCAAGCGGCGAACGCTGCACTGCAGAGCTGTTTCAGCTGGGGGGATAGAGACCAGCTGTGCAGCCTTTCCTCCAGGGGCCTCTGCGTGGACTCCATGCTGCAGCAAGCTGGGCAGTCAGAAAGCCATTCCAGGCTCAGGCAGAAACAGCAACTGAGGAAGGCAGTTTCTTCCAGACTAGGGGTTTTCTTCTCATTTAGGAAGGGAATGATCGTCCTAAGCCTATCTCTCAGACGAGAAAGGCAGGGACGGCGCCCTGTCCTGCAAGGGCAGATCTCCACACGGCGGGGACACTGCTCTGCAGAGCTGGCTCCTAACTCACTTCTTAAACCGATAGCCTGTCATAGAAATCCAGATCTGACAGAGCCCGCTGTGGGACCTCCAGACCAAGTGAGTGTGAGCATCTTGTTGGTCTAAGTCAGATTGCTCAAATAACCAACCACAAGGAATTCGATAGTTTCCCGTGTGGGTGTCACATTGACACCCAAGAAAGCACAGCTGACTAGCCTGCATGTGGAACCCCAAATCTATGTTAGAAAAGCACAGATGTGCTTCAACCCTGCCTGGTGTTTTTGGTAGAAAAGGGTTGGGGGCAGTGGAAAGTCACTGAACATCAAGACAGATTTGAAAGCAATGTTGTGTGCAGATGTCAGTCTATTGTGCATGATTAAGAATGTTTTTGAATTGTTGCCAAAGTTTGATTAAAGAGATTTCTTAATAGTTTTTAAAAATTTGTATTTCTGTTCTCTTTTGAAGAAACGTGAAGCTATACCAGTGTTCCCTGATCCATCAGAGCATTGCTGGTGGGAGGTGAGCAGCTGCCAGAGCTCCGTGCGTGATGCGCGTGCGTCCCCAACAACAGCACCTTTTCTACCGTCCAAACAAACCTCAGCCTGTCGGCCCACTGTACCCTGCACCACCACCAAACCTTCCCATAGCACAGGCTCCACCACCACCTCCCCACTCCACCATCTCCACCACCACCTCCCCACTCCACAGGCTCCACCACCACCTCCCCACTCCACAGGGCTGCCGGAATTAGAACCCATGCCCATATGGGCCCCCAGCACATGCAAGGTGAGGACTTCAGCTGCTAGGCTACCACACTAGGTCCTGGTCCCACCATTTGTAGAAACAATATTAATGACTGTGGGATGAGGCCTACTTTGGGCAATTCTTTCTGGCAAAAAAAAAAAAATGAAAAAAAATGAAGCTTGCTCACTCGAAATAGACACTGATTATTAAAGTTCCACAGTCTACGGCCCAGCATTGTAGCCTAGTGGTTAAAGTCTTCTCCTTGCATGCACCAGAATCCCATATGGGCACAGGTTCTAATCCTGGCAGCCCTATCTCCCATCCAGCTCCTTGCTTGTGGCCTGGGAAAGCAGTCAAGGACAGCCAAAAGCCTTGGGACCCATGTGGGCGACCTAGAGGAAGCTCCTGGCTCCTGGCTTCAGATTGGGTCAGGTCCAGCCCTTGCAGCCACTTGGGATTTAAACATTGGATGGAAGATCTTCCTCTCTGTCTCTCCTCCTCTCTGTATATCTGACTTTGCAATAAAAATAAAGTAAATCTTTTTTTAAAAAGTTCCACAGCCTAGAATTTCCTTGTAATTAAACTATCAGCCAACTCTTCTGACGGGACATTGGTGTACATGTGTGAGCACACACACACATATGCAAACATAAGTCAGGAGATGCACTGGCTGGGGACTGGCACAGCTACAGAATGGATCTGAAGACCACAGGCCTTCGGACCCCCATCTGACACTCTGGTCTTTGCAGAACTGAGCTGAACCACAAGGACGTAAGCTACGTGTCAGGGACCTGAGGCTGGTGGCCCTGCGCACGTCAAGTCCTCCAGCAGGGCAGTGGGAGAACTCTTGGAGATGAGGACAAGGGCGGCAGCTGAGAGCCACAGGCCGCTTTCCTGGGCCTGCGGAGGTAACAGCGACGGGTTCAGATTCACGTTTGTATAAACCGCCCTGAACAGTTCCTTTACGTTGAAGGATTCTTCCACCCAAGACTACTCCCCAAGAACTCCACTGTTTCCAGATGGCCACTGAGGCCACATCATGAGTTTCTGCCAGAGAGAAAGACACAGTCCAAAAACCTTTCTAAAATCCAAGAATTGTGGAAGATTTAGTCTGATAAGACTTGCTGTTTACAAATAATGTGGTCATCATCTTTCAGGGAACGTGCTAAACTTTTCCTAAAACCTCAAACACATGCTTAAGTTTAAAATCTCAGAGACAAATGGTACAAGTGTTAAGCACAAAGCACTCCCCCTGCACACTAACCTGTCACCAGAACTCAGGTCTCTCCATTCTGATCCTGAGATAAAAAACAGGCAGGGGACACCACGAGTGTGAGCACCCTGTACCTCTACGGGTGAGGAGGGCCTCAGATTGCTCCTCCCAAGGCTGAGGCTAACGACCTTGGCTTTGAACAATCTGCAGGAGCCTGGCCAACTCCAATGAGAGGCGGTGGGCAAGCAGTGTGGTAAGTCACGTGGTCATGGCACAGGCTCACTCTGGCAGAACTGGGGCCCCATCCCCTCAATACTCAGCACTCCCTTTGTCTATAAGGGGTGAGATGTTCTCCTAAGAGTTCATGTACTAAAATTGGAACAATACAGAGATTAGCATGGCCCCTGCGCAAGGGTGACTCGCAAACTCCAAGAAGGACAGCTGCTTCACCACACTCCAGAGGCCTGGGATGCCCTCTCCAACACAGCCCTGCTCCAAGGCGCCTCTGTGTGGCATGTGTGGCTGGCCTGCAGGGCAGTCTTTCCTTAGGCAAGGCTGGCCCACTTCTGATGCTGCCTCTTCCCCTAACTTCTCACACCTGCCCCCTTCCTGCAGTCCATGCTGCCACCAATGATGTCAAAGCCGGACAATGGGAGACTCATCAGAATGGAGCCAAAGTAAGCCAAGGAGGGGCTGCCCCTCCTCTCTCAGCCTCTGCCTTTACTGGAGCAAGGAGAAGAGGGCAGCAAACGAGTGGCTGGGAAGGCCAAGGAGGAGATAGAGTGAAGTGGCCATGCTGTCAGCGGCCTTTTCCTTTCTTTTAAGACTTATTTATTTGAAAGACCAAGTTACAAAGAAAGAGAGAGGAAGAGACAGAGAGAGATCTTCCATCTGCTGGTTCACTCCCCAGTTAGCCCCAATGGCTGGACTGGCCTGGGTAAATCCAGGAACCAGCAGGATCTTCTGGATCTCCCACATGAACACAGGAGCCCAAAGAATTGGGTCATCTTCTGCTGCTTTCCCAGGCCATAGCAAGCAAAAAGATGGTTCAGAAGGGGAGTAGCCAGGATTTGAACCAGTGCCCACATGGGATACTGGGATCTCAGGCAGTATCCTAGCCTGACATGGTCCTCTGGGACCTTGACTTTGATGTTACAGCTTTTTGTAGACAGGGAACTATGACTTTCACTGAATATTAGCACACCACAGCTGTGTCTTTTAGAACAGTCGAGAACATCTCCCTGACCCGCTTGGTATAGATACCCCAAACCTGGGGCATCAATGACGTCAGTGTGCAATTGCTCGTGGGATCTGCGTCCTACAGATTAGCCTCCTGTGATCTGGACACACTTTAGCACCCACCTGGGTGAGGAAGTTGTATATACACACATACATTTTCAACTGAACACAACAAAGACAAAATCCTTTCCAACGCTGCAATGGTTGTTGGGCTTTGGTACCTGCAGTCCAGGTGCCAACCTGTGCTCCTCTCTCAAGGCACACAGCTGGCTGATGGAAGTTGGCATCCCAAATGCCCAGCTAGTACAGAGGCAGTTCAGTGAATCATGATCAGCAAAACATTGTCAGAGCAGGCTCCAGTTTTTGACCATAAGTTAATAAAAATGGGCTACAAAATATTCTACTCTGAGAGTTAACTTTGCAGCATAAATAATACATACTAGTAACAATGGAAAACAAAATAATTTAACTTAAGAAAATTAACTTGAGAAAATGTAATGTGTATGTGACAGAGAGAGTTTTTAAATTAGCTTCTCTGAGTCTGACTCTGGGTCTGCATTGATGTTACAGAAAAGAGAATGTATTAACTGTAGAGGCTTTATGATTTAAGCCTATGAGCAATTAAAGTCTTTACCAAAACAATGCTGCTGGGGTTTTCAATCTGGAAAAAAAAAGCCAGGGTTTAGAAAACACCATCAACAAACAAACATTCAACTACACAGATCTAAATGAGCATGATGCTTGGAAAGATTTTACTCTGAAACTTGACACTGCAGTGGCAAGCAAAACCACCTCTTTAGGGAAGATCGGCTTGGAAGCAGCAACGGACGGAGCTGCTTTATTTACCTGTGAGAAACACTCAAGACAAGAAAGCCTACAAGCAGACACTCACGCCCCATCCAAAGACAGGGCTGGGGGGATTAGGAACTCTCAGGGGTTGGGAGGAACCTGATCTTCTTGTGTATTCATGGGTGCAAGAGCTGTGCATGAGGGGAGGCACCTGCTAAGCCAGCAGCCACCAGCACATTTTCACTTCCCTGAGGGCAACACTGGCAGAAATCACACGTGGGAAGGTGAGGCAGGTAAAATGTGGAGGATGTGCTGGATTGCAGCATCCACTGGTTTGTGTAGAAGACGGGGCTGGAGGCAGACGTGACCCAGCAATTGCAACCACCAGCATGTGCATAAGCTTATCAGGGTGACGGACTGTGCCAGATCCTATAATGGCAGGCACACACAAGAAGCAGGTCTGGGATCACCTCAGACGAAGTTTCTTTGGGGATCCCCCCCAACTGAATTGCTAGACTCAGAACCCTAACCATGAGAGATTTGTGCATGTGTCGGCGCTGGGCCTCCTCAGTGGCTTAGATGGAGCAGCGGACAGCATATCTGGGTACAGGAAGGACATGGCAGTACGTTGGAGTCTGCAGAGAACACCTGGTACTGCAACAGAAGATGGAGGACAGGACAAATTGATTAACCACCCCAGCCAAGTGTTGCCAGTGAATATCTGGGCAAATGGAGACTCTAAGGTGGACTATGTTAACCGGTGGATTATGTAATCTGGAGGATTTCATCATGCTTGGAGTGGCGAGATGGGCAGGAATTCAGAACTACTGAACTATCAAAGTCTCTTGAGCAGGCCCCTCAGAGCATGCCCCACATCAGGGACCTGGGGGTAGTGTTAGACTGCTCTTCTCCCATCCCAGGGTACAGAGGCAGTTGGGAGGCTGGGTGTGACTTCTCTCCTAATTTCCATTCTTCTCCTAGATACAGGAAGGGAAATAAAGAGAAATTGGGAATAAATTGGAAATGGTATCTACCTGCCTTTCTGTAACCCTTGACCCTCATCACTCTAATTAACTATGTAACAATCATCAAGAGAAATAAAAATAATTAATACACAAAAAAAGAATGTGGAGATTCCATCCCCCCATAACCAGCTAGTCCTTTCATTAGGTGACAACTAAATGTCACGACATTCTCAAAAGTAAACAAATTCTACTCAGCTTGAAGAGTTCCAAATCTCAAGGTACGCGCCTGTGCCCTGTTCAGAAGTAAGGTCCTACTAGCACAAAAGAATGCCCACAGGGTAGGGAAAAGGACTTTCCTCACGCCAACTCTCAGTGTCTCCACCTGGAAGTGAGAGTCAAAGTGAAGTCAAAACACTGCATAAGCATACCTGGACTAGTGCCTGGATCTCTCCAATGATGTGATGGGCTTAGTGTCCAGTCCTGGTCATGGTGCATCAGTCACAAAGCTTCTATAAACCCATACATGGGGCCTTATTTTGGTTCCCCTCTGACAGTATATTTTGAAGTCTCAGATTCTTCTCCTGCTACAAATCATCTCCAGCCACGGGTCATTTTGCTTCTAGTTTTGTAAACGTGCTCCTCTTAATCTAGTTTTCCATTCTTCTTGGCAGGTTTATGCTTGATGCAATTCTCATCCTTTCAGAAGATCTTCCTCGACCACTACAAGCAGAGACTTCCCCCTCACGGTCTCACCAAGGGTTCCATACATACTTCCTTGGCAGCAATGGCTAGATCTTGACAAAGAGTCTGTCTCTCCCACTCAAACTCTGAACTACTCCTTCGCAGCACAGGCCAGAGAGTGCACCCTTCACCTCGGACATGCCACGCCATCTTACTCAGCATCCAATACACTGAATGGATATTCTATGTTAATGTGCTTATAAATTCAAAAGTTTTCTAAACGACTGCCTGTAGAGTCCAGGAGTCAGAGCTGAGAGAAATGTGCTTGTGCAGGTTGGGCAGGCACTGACAGTGAGACCGTTGTCCAGGCTTTAGACTGCTGTCATGTGAGCTCTTCCTGGTCACCTCCATCATGCTGTCCTGAGTTCAATTTGGGGCTTCTTTCCTGGATAAATAATCCATGTTTACAAATCTGAAGCCAAGAGTTAGTGTTGGGAAAACATTAAGTATTTGAACAACAAAGGCATCAGTTGTCTGTTTCTCTAATTGTCACCTTTGAAGCTGAACTCCACATTATTAGTAACAAAGGATATGTTTCACCTGATTTTCATACTCAAATTCACAGAATTTAAAATCCTTGCCAGCATTGCCACACTACTCAAATCTATATCTGGTCCTTAGCTGCCATATCACTTACTCCAATGGCCGTCTATCTTATTCGCCACACATTCTCAGAATCTTCCATTCTGGCCTTTAAGAAAAGCACATATTTCTAAAACTGAAGTTGTTAACACATTGACACTGTGTGTTAGCTCACCGTATGCAATTCCAGCTTCCCACATGGATACGGCTCCAACTTTCAGCTCTCCACTTAATATCCAGCTCCCTGAAAATGCATGTTGAAAAAGATAGTACAAGTACCAGAAGCCCTGCTCACCATGTGGAAGGCCGACATGGAATCCCAGCTACTGCTTTCTACATCCACAGCCCCGGCCATTGTAGCCATTTGTGGAACAGAAGAGCAGATAGGGAAGGCAAGATGTTACAATAGGATGGGAACTCATGAAAACAGGGAAGGATTAGTGGAGGGAAAGCATAGAGGACATGGACACAGGTAATGGGAGTGGACATGCCAGGGGAAGAGAGGCATGTGGGCACATGGCTACAGGACGCAGCCGAGATAGTAAAGAGGTGCCCCATCGATGGGTGGGCAGGGGCAGCACCAGAGACATGAGAGGTGAATGCAGAGATCGGCAGGTCTCTCTGACTGTCTAATGTGATTAGGAGCCCAAACAGCAATGACTCCCTTGCAGATGAGCGGGGGAGCACAAAACTGAAATGGGTTCTTTCCAAAGAGGACAAGTCACACCCAGTATCCATATTTCCCTGCCACTAACGGAGACCAAAAGAGAAATTGCTACACGTTGGCCCGGCAACCTGGCTCACACTGGACAGGTCGTATAAACAAGAAAATAGTCTGATATTACTCTTGGGAACTGGGAATTTCTGAATTTTCCTTACAATCACATACCCTACATCTAACATAAAGGTTCTGGAGAAAGGTCACACAGAATGCCTACTGTGAAAAATCTCTTCCTGGGCCAGCCTGACGACAAAGCAAGCAAAGCCACCATTTGCAATGCTGACATCCAATATGGGTGCCATTTCATATCCTGGCTGTCCCACTTCTGATTCAGCAAACAAGGATGGTCCAATTATTTGTGCTCTCCCATGGCATAGGAAAGCCAGCTGCAGGTCCTGGCTCCTAGCTTTAGC